TGGTTTACAATTGAGTGTAATCTCGATATCATGTCTGCTCATTCTCCGTGTGATAAGTCTGCGTTTCGAATGATTGGAAGAATTAAAAAAATATGACTATTCAAATATGCCTATTTCATTTTTGGTCTTGTGTACACGCAATGGTTACGACTTACCAGTCCATCACCACTACCACTCACTCTCTAAGTAGTAATACATCTGTTTACTACTTAGAGTCACATTACCGATTACATTTTATATTGAAAATCAGTGTCGTTTTTTTTATACTACTATGGTGGCAAACAAGCATACGGCCCATCTGATGGTAAATGGTTACCGTAGCCCATGGACGCCTGAAGCACCAAGGGTGTCACGTGCGCGTTGCCGACCCTTAAGAAACCTTAATATACCCTTCTTGAAAAACCCCATGCTGTAGTCTTGTGAGAAAACCTCGGCAGAAAGTTCATTCCACAATCTAAGTGTACGCGGGAGGAAGCTCCTCTGAAACCGCACTGTCCGAGACCACTTAGGTCATGGTTTTAGTAATGGCATGGCATAATGCTGAGATGGGTCCCTTACATACACGTCAGTACACAGTGACGTAGTAACGATGCTCCACAGTGGTGGATAAGGTGTACTTTTTATGCATATTCAGTAGGTCTGAGAATCAGCTACTATCTATATTTCATATCCCTAAGTGATAAGGGCTTTTTTAAGGGACATTTTTTATATGTGGCTATAAAAAATAAACACAACTCCAAATTTTCACCCTCAATCCCAATTGTTTTATACAGATATTTTAATGTATATGTCAAAACAACGTAGGCGAGATCACCTAGTAAAATATAAAGAACAAGATAATCTATTCTACACTAACAAAAGGAGTGACGTGCCTGTTAGAATTTGGTGATAGGCATAAATAAACGAGATATCTGAAATCATTACGAGAATTTCCTGTCTGGCTTGTGTCACGCTTGGCATTTCTAGAGGATTGTTAAACTACAATTAATTATTAACACGCTGCAGCGATGTACCGTCAGCACAATCATTAAAAAAATATATCTAAACCTAGCATCCGTAAATGAAAACAGAATTTTAAAATTCGGTTTGTTTCTACACATTTCATTATGAAACTATGTTTGTAGTTTTTCCAGTGGTTATTAGAGATCCAAACCAAAACGGAAACCTTACTGTAAAAAATTGTCGTTGGTCTCTCAGTCACACTCTATGTTTCATTTCCAACATACAACTAATTCTATATTTTTGATATATTTTAATATATTGTTTGCCCAATTATAAAAAAATAAAGACATTTTTACTTACGCCACTTAAAGCAGAGGCTAAAAATTTCAAATACTTTAATATTATTAGAATGTACAAATTAATATACGAAAAAGATTAATTTGTACATTCTAAAACCGAATAAGGAAATACATATCATTTAGTTGGGTCACCAACTAAACTTATAGTGGAAATTTCTAATCATTACATAATATAAAACAAAATCGCTGTCGCTGTCTGTCCGTCCCTATGTATGCTTAAATCTTTAATACTACAGAACGGATTTTTAAGCGATTTCTTTTAATAGAAAGAGTGATTCAAGAGGAAGGTTTATATATATAATACATGTACACTCGTGCGGAGACGGGACAAGTAGCTAGTAACTAATAAGATATAGTAATATATAAAGAAATTCTGCTTGTTATTCTATTCTTCGATCGGAACTGTTAGCATTCGAGTGGGATTCGCGCTTCACTATTTTTTCTGCTAGCGGTACTTGATGTTACTGTAATAGCTTTGTGCTTTCACGAATAGTACATACAATACATACAGAGGACAGCACATGGGTAGTGCTTATACATTATCAAGTGGTTGCAGAGTGCATGGAATTCATTCCCGGGCTAGGTACAGCAATATTGGTTTGCAAGCTATGAGGTCGCACTAAAACACCATTCTTTGTTTATTTAATCATTTTTAATGGATGATAATGGAATAATATTTTAGGAGATTAGCTTTAATTTCTATTTGTATACAAATAATAATTAATTTACTCAAATTGTTTGAATTGTTTGTGCATATTAATATTTTCAAGGAATACTTGAATAAAAAAAGTCTAATAAATCGAGAAAAAAACACGATTCATAATCTGATCCCCGCAAACAGTGAAAGAATTGAGGGGAGGGGAATGATAGTTATGAGAACTAGTTGAGATAAGGTACCTTGGCTAGCAATGTACCTTATCAGGTAAACCTCCACGTGGTCCCCACTGAAATATGTTTTTTTTATAATGATAATGGAATCGTGTATTCGCCTGCACAAAAAGTATACACTGGAGGATAATATGATGAATATGAAGTCGAGACAGTCAGCACATAGTGGCAAATTCACTAGGAATTTATTACGATAGTTTTCAGGGGAAACCGCGTGGATATCAACCTAACATAGATAGATAGATAGATAGATAGATATATCGTTTATTTGTTTGTTACTAGTCACACACATAACATGTTCATAAGAATATAAAAATACATAATACAACATAAGATTTATAAAATTGTGTTTTATGTGTGATCTGTAGCAATACAAAAAGGTCGAAGCTCAGCGTGGAACATTGTTCAGGGAACAAAACACTGATTTTCAGCTTCAACCCATTTGAGGGTACGTGAAAATAATAATTAAAATAAATAAAAAATAAAAAGGAGCAATATTATTAGTGATTGTCTGTGTGGTGTGTTTATAATAAAAATAATGTAAATAGTTCAGAGTATAATTTCATATAATTTTAACTGAGTGGTAAGGATCAACAAAAAGAAAAAAAAAAGAAAATATTAATAAGAGTAACATAGAGAAATAAAAAACAATTTTTTTTTTAAGAACCTTTACCGGAGATTACAACCGCTAGCCAAGAAATTTCTGTGGAATGCCTAAAATTTGTTTTTCTAATAAGTATTCTTTGTGATGTTTTTTAAAACTGTGTACGGTAGTCAGATGCCTAAATGGTGGCGGGATGTTGTTCCAACATTGTTGGCGACAGCTCCTCAGGGAGAGCAGTGGACTGTATCGATGGTGGGGTTTAAAAGAAACGGTTGTCTCTCGAAGCCTGTTTATTCTCTCCACAGAAGTTTCACAATTGAGTTATAGCCGTATTCGATGTTACATTCAAGTTTCAGCCGCTGTAGCTCAGACTGTATGGCGTCTATAGGAAACTACCGCGACTGACTTTACAATAATAACGGACTATAACTGCCGTCCGTACTGTGTTCGATTATGACAGCCGTCGGCATATAACAATCCGACTATGACTGTCTGAGTCCCTCTATTATAACAGTATTATGACTGCATTATAACTATATTACGACTAACTCGATACAAAAATTCCTCGCCTTATATATGGGAGGTATAGACTGTAGTGGGGACTACAGTCCTTACAAAATTCTTACTGGCAATAAACCAAACCTTATTTCTATCAGACAATGCACAACGTTATACAACTTCATAACAATATCTTTGCACATTGCCGAAATTCCCTTACTTCTTTATTCTCACAAACTAACAGTTACTCATAAAGAATGCATTGCATTTTACAACTCCACCCAAGAATATTTAACATTGGTGCAATAACCAATTTCCTTGTCTAATTACAATGCACTGTAAACACGGATTGGACAATATTCATAAAGACATGAAAAGACCTGCTCCGTCCGTTAGTCTACAATAAGAATATGTTTACAATAAGAAACCCTACGGTCATCATAAACCCAATGGGTTGAAAATAGTAACGGTGTTATCTTATCACAAAAGGCCAACAAATATTCATTGTGTTTATAAACAATGAATGCCAAATGAACGCTGGTACCCAAACAGATGTTCAACCGTTATCGTAGTTTTAAACAGTGAATCGATGTCTTATTCTAAAACAGCACTTTTAAAAACTAATATTATTTCTAAGTTATTGTCCAATTTCAACACACAACTTATTGTCTACCTAATCTACACAAATATTATAGGTGCGTCGCGACGCCGCTTATATGTGTCGCCTGTCGTCAATATCCTCCCCTCGGCGTAGACTCGTCGCAGCCTCCTTTCACTGGTAGACGGCGACTTCTTGTAACCTCGGTGTCAGCACGGCCAGTTTACTCGTGGGCCGACGAAATACACCTCCTCGCGTTCGCACGTTGGCACTGCGTACTACACCATCGGCTCCCGGATGTACTGTTTCGACGACGCCTCTTGGCCACACGTTGCGTGGCAGTGTATGATCTACTACGATCATAATGTCACCTATATCAATGTTTTCTTTGTGCTTATTCGCATCTCGGATGTGCCGATTCGTTGTTAAGTAGGTAAAGAGCGCTATCCATCGCCTTTCATGCCGTCTCCCTATTGTAATTGTAATAGGGTTGTAGTGATCAATGCCACAATTTGAAAACGGCCTATGAAATGGCTGTAATCTTTCCCTTGGCAGGTCTCTCATACTCGGTGGTGTGGGCATCTTCTTTCGTACTCTACACCAAAGATAGCTTCTTGCTATTACTCGTACGGTTGGTCGGAGATTTATTATATAATATATCTGTCGTATATCATTTACGACTCTCTCGTTGTTAGCGTGTCCAGCGGATCGGTGCTGTTTTTCTATGAGAATATCAATCAATATCTCTATTTCAGAGCCGAATGAGTTGCGTAGTGTTTCTTTAATCCACACGCGTTCAGCCTTTTTCAGGTGTTCAATGTCGAGAAGTGCGTTCTTATTTCGACATTTATCTCTAAACAGAAACAGCATCGCTGTAGCGCGTAGCACTCGGTTGTAATTTGAAAAACGCCTTACATCTGGTAGGCTACGTTCACTACAGTTTGTTGAATATACTGTTACCGTTTCCTCGCTGCGGGCGAGATAGTCAGCTGTTTTCGGTCGTTTCAGTGCCATGTTATTACTTGATGGCAGTGTGACGTCATCATTACGCCTCGGCAAGCTGACTTTGTATGCACCGTCATCCTTACGGTGCGCGGTTGTCTCGAAACAATTAATTGCTCGTTGATCTGTCGACTTTATCTTCATTTTTTTTCTCTATAGCCAACGCGTCGGTGTCGAAGTGTTGCTCGACGTGCTCGTGCAACCGTTTATTTTCTGCTACTGTTGTAACATGCAGCACCTGTGCCGAGTCCCTTTTGTTCGTTACGCGGGGAGTGGTACCGTGCAGTACCCAGCCTAACTGCGTTAATGACGCGGCTGGCTCGTTTCTCCTACCCATTTTTAATTTTCTTGTAACGATAAGCTGCCAGTTGTCCGATCCGATTAGCAACTGTGGGCACTCATTATCGTAGCATAACTTATTCGGATTTAAATCCTTTAAATGATTTAAATCTAACAGTCGTTTAGGTATAGACTGACTAGTGAGCTTCATTTCTGTGACGGTTCTTGCATTTATTTTATATTTGCGTCGGCTCTGTCCTTGTATCTTAATCTGTACCGATCGACTATTTATTTCGCATCGGTCAGCATTTATTCCATGCATGTTTAGTGGGTGAATCGGTCCGTCCGCCCCCACTGCTTTTGCTATTTTTTCATCCAATAGCGTAACTGTAGATCCCTCATCGAACAGTGCATATATTCTTTGTTTTCCTTTCGGGCCAATTACAGTGACTGGACATACTTTTAATTTGATGTCGGTACTCTTGTCAACTGTCGTTGTCGTAACCGCTTCGTTGTCGATGTCTTCAGCGTTGTCACCGGTGTTTGCGCTGAGCCCTGTGTGTTGGTGCAGCAGCGGGTGGTGGCGAAGCTTACACGTGCTGACGCCGCACGATATTGCTTCGCAATTGTGACGTTTATTTTTACTTACGAGACATTTAAAACACAGACTGCCTTTTTTAACAACGTTCCATCGTTGATCGATTGTTTTTGTTGTGAATTCAGGACAAACTGTTAACTTGTGTTGTCCTCTGCAGTCTGGGCACACAATCGTGTGTCCCTTATTCTCATTTTCTACAGTTTCAACTGTAAAAACATGTCTCTTATTCCTAGGCGGTATCGCTGTCTGCCCATGCATCGTGGGTGATCGCGGTATTTCTTTTTTTACGTATGTAGGCGCCGAATATCCATATTTCATAGCCCTTCTCGCCTCTTGCGTAAGATGGTTTGAAAGTTGAATTATGTCTGGTATATCCTGCTTCTCATTTTTCTCTGCAAATATATACCAGTTCGATCGTTGATGGGGACTCATTTTCTCCAGTACTTCCCTGGTCAGCATCGGGTTGAACAGATAACCTTTTTTTACTTGACTCAGAACTGTTACGATGTTTTGTACTTTAACTGCGAATGCATTAAATTCGCTAGTGGACTGCCCTGGTCGTGGCAGTCGCTTCAAGTCTTCAATAGCACGATCGGCTATTATTTCGGGATGACCGAAGCATTGTTCCAGCGTTTCCATAATACGATCTGGATGGGTCGAGGCATTTAGCAACGGTGCTACAATTTCTCTAGCTTGACCCCGCAGACTGTTTCGCAATCTCGCTATGTTTTCGACTGCTGTAAAACGATACAGTGCTGTCGTCTCCGTCATAGCTGCGCGGAATTGAAGCCATTCCCACGGCGAGCCAGTAAATATGGGTAAATCAGTAGCTTGTCGTGGTGGTGGCCTGGACTTCATCAGAAATTCTACCGCGCTCGTTAGCTTGTCTAAGGCTCGTTCCATTATGTCCGTCGGTGTTGATGATCGTCGATGCTGGTCTTCATTGTTCTGTGTCTTGATCGGGGTTTTTAATTGTTCCCCGTTCTCGTGGCGAGTCGGTTTGGTACTTATAAATACCGACTCCCCTCGTATGTTGTCCGTGGGTGGTCCATTTTGTTTCAACCACTCCTGGACACGATGTTCGTTCTGTTCTGGTTCCCCTGGGTCTGCTGAATATCTGTTCGAGGCGGCAGTGTTCATTGCTAGCTTCTGACGTGTACGATTGTCCATTTTAGGATCCATGTCAGCTAGTTGCGTCGCCTCGTCCTGCACGCTTCTTATAGATTGTACGGACGGTGTCGGTGTTCCTCTTCTATATTGTGTGACTTCTTGCCTCATTGCGGTGGCGGTTGACGGCCCGGCGAATTGTTCGGCGCCGGCCGTCCAATTTTCAACCTGATATCCGCGGCGTGTGGAGGGTACGGTGTCACCGGGGCTCCGATGTTCCTGGGGGCCCACCCTATTCATTGACGGTGACTGTGGTGATTTTTCATCTAGCGCTGCCGCTTGTTCATCACGTTCCGCTTGGCCTCTTGTGACTACCATTTTATCTCCGTAGGTCGCTGTCAGCAGATCCGGCGCTCGAAGGTCCAACACTGTTGGCGACAGCTCCTCAGGGAGAGCAGTGGACTGTATCGATGGTGGGGTTTAAAAGAAACGGTTGTCTCTCGAAGCCTGTTTATTCTCTCCACAGAAGTTTCACAATTGAGTTATAGCCGTATTCGATGTTACATTCAAGTTTCAGCCGCTGTAGCTCAGACTGTATGGCGTCTATAGGAAACTACCGCGACTGACTTTACAATAATAACGGACTATAACTGCCGTCCGTACTGTGTTCGATTATGACAGCCGTCGGCATATAACAATCCGACTATGACTGTCTGAGTCCCTCTATTATAACAGTATTATGACTGCATTATAACTATATTACGACTAACTCGATACAAAAATTCCTCGCCTTATATATGGGAGGTATAGACTGTAGTGGGGACTACAGTCCTTACAAAATTCTTACTGGCAATAAACCAAACCTTATTTCTATCAGACAATGCACAACGTTATACAACTTCATAACAATATCTTTGCACATTGCCGAAATTCCCTTACTTCTTTATTCTCACAAACTAACAGTTACTCATAAAGAATGCATTGCATTTTACAACTCCACCCAAGAATATTTAACATTGGTGCAATAACCAATTTCCTTGTCTAATTACAATGCACTGTAAACACGGATTGGACAATATTCATAAAGACATGAAAAGACCTGCTCCGTCCGTTAGTCTACAATAAGAATATGTTTACAATAAGAAACCCTACGGTCATCATAAACCCAATGGGTTGAAAATAGTAACGGTGTTATCTTATCACAAAAGGCCAACAAATATTCATTGTGTTTATAAACAATGAATGCCAAATGAACGCTGGAACCCAAACAGATGTTCAACCGTTATCGTAGTTTTAAACAGTGAATCGATGTCTTATTCTAAAACAGCACTTTTAAAAACTAATATTATTTCTAAGTTATTGTCCAATTTCAACACACAACTTATTGTCTACCTAATCTACACAAATATTATAGGTGCGTCGCGACGCCGCTTATATGTGTCGCCTGTCGTCAATAAACATTTTGTTGCTTGGTAGCGGAAGCTGCCAGTAAATGCCACAGTTCTGTGTACTTGAAATGATAATTTCGAACAAATGAATCTGCATCCATACATACGAGAAGAGAAATTTAGTTTTTTAAAGAGATAAACTGGCTGTTCACTTTTTATTACATCGAACAATAGACTAGCCAGGTGTAACTGTCTTCGCGATTCCATATTTAAAATTGAAGCATTGTTTAAATACGGACTAATATGGCTTCGGGGGGGAATATTAAAGCAAAAACGACAACATGCATTTTGCACTCTTTGAGTCAGGCGTTGAGTTCTAGCCAATAGTTGTGGTCCATACACAATGTCTCCATTATTAAATTTGGATAGGATTAATGATTCGCATAGTGTAATACGAACTCTTTCCGATAATAAATTATACCTTAAGGCGATAAAAACATTGTTGTACTACATTTAAAATATGCTTTTCAAATCGCAGCCGACTGTCAAAAATAATCCTCAAGTTTCGCGCTTCTTCAACTCGTTCTATACTCTGGTCCAGGATATTTACTGTAATATTTTTATTTATTATGTCAGTAATTTGTTTTTTTGATCCAAGAATCATATACTTTGTTTTGTTAGGATTAATAACCAATGCATTTTCTTGTGACCAGGCAGCAATTTTCTCCAAGTCCCTATTAAGTTTATGAGCAGCGTCAGTAATCGCAGCGGGTGTTCCAGAGATATAAATTTGTATGTCATCAGCGTAACAATGAAAATTACAATAGTTTATTGCATTTTCAATGTCAGCACAATAAATAATGAAAAGAAGTGGCCCAAGTATCGAACCCTGAGGTACTCCATACCAGCTTGGGCTCCGACACTGAGTAGGAACCATCCAGCTTTTGTATTTTTACCGATTGGTATCGGTTGCTAAGGTAACTATGAAACCATAGTGCCGATCCAAACCATAATATGTCAGCTTAGAAAGCAAAAGAGGTACATTTAAACAATCAAAAGCGCGAGAGTAGTCGAGTAAAGTCAAAATAGTACCATTACCAACATCTTGTGAAGCAAGAATATTATCTACAACATCCAGTAAAGCAGTGGTAGTGCTTTTACCTTTACGGAATCTGACTGATACTTTGGCAGGATGTTGTTTGTTTCAACGTATTTCAGCAACTGAGTATGAACGGCTTTCTCCAAGACTTTGGACAGAAAGGATAGTATACTTATAGGTCTGAGATCATTAAACTCGGCAGGATTATTAATTTTGATAAAGGAGTAACCAATGCATGTTTCCATTGACTAGGAACTTTTGACGTAACAATAGATTTATTAATTATGTTGGTTATAATTGCTAGTGTACGAGGAAGAGTCAGTAGTATCATGTCTCTACTCACCCGATCACTACCCAATGCATTAGATTTTATTGCCGAGATATACCTAGCGACATCACTCTCTGACACCGGCTGCAATTGAAAAGTAGCTGTACCATACCTATGAAACTCAAAGTAAGTGAGTTTTGATAAAGACACATTATTTGGTCCAGGTACATTTAAAAAATGTGCATTAATGTTATCGGGGTTATTGAAGAAGAACGGTAGTATGTCACTTTTATGGAGTCCACGGAAATATTTTCCTTTAACCTTTTCCAGAAAATTTTACCATTACTTTGTTGAGAGTTTATATGATAATTATAGTAAGCTCGCTTTTCCCGATCAATACTACTGTGAACGAGATTTTTAAGGTCTTTATAATATCTATTATGTACCTCCAATCCTGTCCTCCTATACATTAACAGTGCTTTATTACGCAAGTCAATCATACGTCTGATGGTATCGGTTACCCATGGTAGTGAATGTTTGCCATTAATTTTAATCCTTTTTTCAGGAGCATGTCCATCAAAAAGGAATAGCAACATCGAGTTAAAAGTGTCGACCATCAAGTCGACACAAGGCAGGCTGTTAATATATTCCCAATGTATAGAATTTAAATGTAGATTAAAATATTCCAGGTTGATATCCTTGATGGGTCGAAGTATAAAATATTTAGTTGGCATTTTACACTTTTTTATTGTGAGCTCAAAATTAATCATCGCATGCCCTAAGGAACCTCTAATAAAATTGTTCGAAATACTGCGGACCGGTGCATTAGTACACACCAGGTCAATAAGCGTTTCAGTGTCGGTTGACAAGTGTGTTGGCTCATTAACTACTTGCGTGAGGCTAGTATAGTGTAGAAACTGTACTATTTTTTTTGTGCACTTATATTATGCAAATTTAGCATATTAACATTTAAATCTCCCATAAGAACCGTATAGTCATAATTAGAAAAATAAGTCACAGTTTCCGTTATAGCATCCAAAAAATTATCAATGTTCATCCATTGAGGACGATATGCAGTACCGATTAATATATTGTAGCAATTAATACGCGTGGACAACCACATCTGTTCGATACCAGCCGCTGGGTGTTTGAGTATGCGCACAATACGTTTCATAGAAGCTAGTCCCCCCGCGGCCGGCGCGCATGTTTACCGGTCGCGGTGAGCTATACAGTCTGTAGTCGGCGACGGCGGGCGCACATCCCTCCTCACCCGAGCGAAGCCATGTTTCATTTATTGCAATGAAGTCGGCGTTGAAACGATTCACTGCAATTATAAATTCGTCTCGTGCTGTATTGAGTGACCCGGCATTGTATAGACCTAACTTAATGAACTTATTTGAATTGAAGACTTGTATGATTTATAAAAATAAATACCACAAAGGAGTCAACACAAGGTAAGCACGCGTACTTAGTTCTATCATTGTAAATGTTGCTAGTATAACGAAGAATAGTAGGCGACGCCGACGTTACCATAGATAGAAGTGAAGTGATTTTAGTGCGTTGTATAGTGTAATCTATGGATATATAATATGACATAAATATTTTCAAGTACCCTTGGATTGCAGCAGATTCGCACAAGATCATATTATTGTGGCAAACAAGATACAAATAAAATGAAATATGATTATTCATCTTTTTAGAAAGATATATGATTGATACAATAAATAGTAATACGTAATACAGATTTAAATAACAATTAATAAATAATTTATACTCGCTGAATAGTTCATACATGAAATAAGTAGTTATATTGATTCTGTATTGTTTCAGATTATGTGAATATATGGATAATACAATAAAAAGTATATACATTATGATAATAATAATTGAATAGATTTTACTTAGTATATACAACACCGGCAGAATGGAACAAATAATATAAAATTCAAAACAATAGTGTAAGCAAAATACTATGGATATACAGATACCGATATTGATATATGAAGTGACCTTCAGTGGACTTATACTTATCTTATTCGTTTTGAATTTGAGTTGAGCCAACTTTAAGAAGGTCTTGTTCATCGAATGCGCTGAAAGAGCACTTGTACCGTGGTTCTGTCTTACAAATATTCTACCAATACGAACCGCCAGTTGAAGCGCCCAGCAAGTTCCCGTGTCCGTCGAAACAGGAAACGATTGACCCTCGTCAACCTTTCGTTAACATAGAAATGCTGTGGTGGCCCGGGCAGACCGGTGTCTGATGTGGTGGCACCCCTCCGTACGCGAGCAGCTTTAAGCAGTTGATCACGAAGAACTCTGCGGCAAAGTCGAATAACGATGAGACGGGGACCAGAATGTTTAGACGATGATGATGAAAACTCCTGCGGCGCCTGTATTGGACCAACCCGCATGACGCTGACCAGATCCTCGTCAACCAACTTGACACCTAACTTGCTTGCAATAGTCATGGCAATGTGAGGCAGACTTTCACCCTTCTGTTCAATAATGCCCGATATCTCGATGTCGTTTAATAAACACTCTTGGTCTCTATCATTGAGTTCTGTCTTTAATTGTTCTATAGACCCTAAAAGCTTTTCTGTGCTTCTGTCCTCACCTCTCTGAG